ACCGACTGTCCAGGCTGCCCCTCTGGAAGAAAAGCAGGCCCCCTCCTGCGCAGTTTACATGACCAGATAGAACTTAGGAAAGCTGCTTATCTGGACCACAAGGGCCCCAATCCCTCCACCCACAGCGAGCAGGGAGAGAGAACCCAGGCTGATCAGAAGTCACCGTGGAAAAATGTACTTTCGTCAAGCTCTGGGAATTGCGAGAACGAAATGGAAATACCGTCGCCCTCAAAGAAGTGAAGGTGACGGGCTTGTGTCTTGCCACCCCACGCGCTTCTCCTTCCCCTTGGTTCCCAGGCTCCCCTTTCCTGCTTTGGGGCCTGTTCTCCATCCCGAAGGTCTGCTCACCTTTGGCAGCAGTTCTTTTGCGCCTGTGATACAGATACAAAGCTATGCCTGCAGTAACTAGAAAGACTGCAGTCCATTTTATTCGCGGGGATATTTGGAGCACCTGCTGTTTCTCAGTCTGGAACTCAGGACAGGAGACCACCTGTTTGGAGTAGAGAGACAAGAGAGGGAGGCAAGAAACGAAATCAAGAAATCAACGAAGGCGGGGGGGGGGGAGTGGGATTACGCCAAGTTCAACTTTTTGTAGGGTTTGCCCGGTCAGTCTGTGCTGGCCTCTCAGGCAGAAAGGAAAGGATAATAAAAGATAAAGGAGACCAACCTGTTGTTACCCCTATGAAGACTAACTGCTATATTATTTCAAGGCGAGCTTCCGTGGACAAGCCCACTCCTTCAGGCAGGGTTCAAGACGCCTTGGAGAAGGAGGGATCTCGAGAGGTCGTTCGGAGATGGGGCTCCTTCTCCCAAGGCCATCGCTCCCCACCCAGACCCCTCGGGTTCAAGACAGGGGGCAGCCAGGTGACCTCAGAAGGACCCGCCTTCCTCAGGAGGGATGATGGCTCCCCCTGTGCACCAGGAAAGCCACGAAGGATGATGCTCTTGGCTTGGCCCTCGGCTGGATCTCTCCTGCCTCTCTGGCTGCAGCCGCTGGTTCTCCCACCAACAGACAGACCACCGACCACCAGCTCCAGAAAGGGCGAGGATTCCTTGGTCTTCGTTGCTGTTGTTGTTTCGACCGCTATCCTGTCCCCTCCCTCTGCCCCCCCCCGTCAGCTCTATTGCACAGGCTCTGGGCCATTTATGACTTAATTGGGAA